CCACAGAAATGCTAGTTATGTGTTTCAGTCAGGATTAATTTAGATTTTTTTTTTATTCCTACATGTATCAGAATCATTCATCGAGGGGAAGTTCTTATATATCCATTCCCAGAATCCTCTTAAGACATCTGGTCTCATTAGAAGATCAAATAGATCCTCCAGATTCATTAGTTGTTCAACAAAGTGGGAATTAGTTTCTCACTGCTCTTGTGTCTGTGAGATATTTAAGACATAGCTGAGAGAAAAATAACAAAGAAAACGTACAATCTTCTTGACTCACAAAGACAGGTCTTTCACCAATGTGAGGAGGTCTTGAATTTGCTTTTAATTTCCAAAAACACAAGGAAAAAAAGTCCAAGAGTATCGGCCATTGTAAGATTTGAAGATTAGAAGGTGCGTGGGATTTACGATATTACCTCGGAAACACTTCTAATACATTTATAATTAGTGGCTCATCACCTGATTGCAATCTTGTATTCTCTTTCTGTATCTTTTCACAAACATACATAAAAAGTAACCCATGCTGACTATGCGGGCATCAGGTAGAATTGTATTGAGCCATTTTAACTGCTGAGCACAACCCATGTTGTTGCTGAACCAGATTTCTCCCACAGAGTACACTATCTGTAGAGGGTAAGGTATTAAAGAATGCTCTGGACACGCTCTCGAGGCTCAGAAGTGCTAGCTGGTAGATCCACTCTACTGAATGATACCCCAGTGGCCTGAAAGAATTATTGTAGCTTTCTAAAGTGACTCATTCACTCCCAGGGGGTCGTCTGAGCTCAGAGAAAATCTGTCTCACTGATTATTAGTGATTTAGTAATTGGATGGTAGTGATGGACTTCTGATAACCTAGAGATTTGCTTTAGCTTCACTGGCAAAGACCTGTGTTTTCAGAGTCAAAGGTTACACTGCCTATTTGTGTGTGTTTCTTGGGGGTGGGGAGGGGGGCTGTACAAAGTACTGCTTTTCAGAACCTGAATCTGCCAGTCCCAATTTCTGACATTTAGTAGCTGCATCATCTTGAGCCAAGTCACAATTCCACTCCTGCTTCAGTTTCTTCATAGGTAAAATCAAGAGGTGGGTCAAATGATCTCCACCATGTCTTCAAACTCGGGAAAAATCTGGTTTCTAGGCCTGGAATATCTTCCGATGCATATGTGCTGTTTCGAAAGCTACTATTTCATAGTATTAATTTCATCGTTCTCATGCCAGTATTTTGGATTGGAATTAGAATTGGCCCTTATAGGTGTATAGAAAAACAGAACAGCTCACTTATGTGTCTGCATCCCTTCTTCCCTAATCATCTTCCGGCTCTGAAATTGCACGGTTTCTAGGCGTATACAATCTTTTTTTTTTTTCTTTTGCTGTTTATGTGCTATTACATGAACTGTGAGGTTGGGAGTTGTAATTTCCTCTTTCTCATTACAATATTTTGAATAGGAACCAGAATATCTTTTTTGAACCTTGTAGCCATGTAGAAAAACAAAACCACCCACCAAATTCCCTCTGACCCTTCTGTTACCTTAAATAGTAAACAAATGAAATCTGTATTCTCTCCTTTTATACATGGTAGAGAGTGTAACTTGTCCTGGAATAATGAGCAAGGGGTCATTTGCAAAACTGCCTTATTATCCTATTACTCTCCCGGAACAAATATGTGACTTTTCATCTTGGGGTCATAGAGGTATAAGCAATCTGCCTGTATATCACTTGACGGGTAATTTGTTGTGAAGTTACAAGAAGAAGACAAAGGTTTAAAGGGGAACATTGATCTTCCCAAAGGACTATTTAAAAATCACAATTTTGCAGGAAGATAGGGTGAGGACTGGGCTGTAGGTTTCGGGGATGTGTTGGAAGCCATGCCAGAGGAAAGAGGCCTTTTCAGGACTTGCACTTAGCAATGCCAGGTAGGCAATGCCCAATGGATGGCCTACAAAACCTTCCCTAGAGCAATGTTTCTTGAACTGCAGGTCATGCCTCATTAGTGGGTCATGTAACCAATTCAGTGGGTGATGACTGGAAATTTTTAAAAACATGTAAATTAGACTAAAGCAGAATAGAGTAGAAAATATCAAGTGCATGGCATGGAGAAGGTCATGTAATGTCTAGTCAAACTCTGGTTCATTTTATGTGTGTGTATGTACGTTTCTGTGTGTGTGTGTGTGTGTGTGTGTGTGGTAGAGAGGGAGAGATCTGTTTCGGTACACCAAGTTCCAATGTAAAATATATTCTTACTGCAGGTCATAGTTTAAAAACTTGAAAGCCATTGCCCTGGAAAAATACATGGCGATGCACATGTCTCAATGTTGGCGTCCAACAACTTGCTCTATTTTGTGACAAATTTATAAACACAAGGAAAAGGAATTCTTTCAAATGTGAACAGTCACCTTCTAACTCTAAATTTAAACTGCCCCTAAATTATTCTAAATTCTACTTTTTCTTCTCTGAAAAATACTTATATTGAATCACTCTTTTCAATGCAAGCTCAAGGCAAAACAGGAAGTGGGTCAAGTTTGTCTTTCTTTCCTGGGGGCACTTCCTACCCCTTTTAAGCACCCCCACTAATGTCTGTACTTTCTTTCCCTTTCCTTTTTTCAAAGCATCTTCTCATGAAAGACTGATAAATGCATTAAATAACAATATAAATGACTGATAATGCTTTAATCTGCCCCATTCCCAAAGGATTTACATTTTAGCCAAATATGAAACCTCACACCCCATAAAAGAATGTCGAATTTAGCTACAGGGGGGAGGAAAAGAGAATTTTGGAAAGGAAGAGTGCTTTCCTAGCACTCTTAAAATCCTACCTGTGGCTGTCTATATTCTCTTCATAATGTTTCCTTTTTGACATGTAAATGATATGCATAATTTCTTCCCCTGTGTATTTGTGAAATACAACTTCAGCTGTCTTTTTTAAATAGATATTTATGAAACTGTCTTATCATAAATCTTTGAGAGGAAATATTTTTTGTCTAACTCAACTTTGCATTCATCTTACACCCAACTTACTGTCTGGCAAATTTAAGTCCTCAATTAGTAGTACTTATGACTGTTTATTATAGAATTGCACTACTCTATAACATATGTGGTGATATTGTTTCCCAATGTCAAACTAGGAAAAAGCACAACTGCTTATTTTTATGCTGAATATCAGATAGTATTATGTAAAATCTCCAGACACTTGTCATAAAACCACAATAATGACGATTTTAAAAGAACACTAATTTATTGAGTATGAAATGTATGCCAGACTACCAGTCCTAGATATTTTGCCTACATGGTCTCATTTCTTCCTTGCAAAACCTCGTCAATGGTGAAAGTATTGTTATGCCCTCCATACCCCCTATACCATAAACACCACAGGTATAATTTTACAGATGGGAAAACTAAGCCTAGAAATTAACATCCTGCCTACGAAGATACAGTTATTCAGTTATTAAGTCATAGCAAACAAAGCTCTAACTCAAAGTGAGTCCATCTGCCCGCAAAGGTCAGTCGTGCTTTCCTCACTTTTACATTTCTTAATGTTGTATCTAAAATTATCGTTTTCTTTTTCATTTCAGATACCTTACTGGCCGTCTGAAGGACAAAGCTGTGAGTGTAAGAACACCAGAAAGTTTTCTTTGTTTTTGTTTTTCATGAAAAACGCTTTGATTATCACAGAGTGGTTACATACCCAGAAAATATCTGGCCTGACCGTGCTAACTCAAGGCATTCTGCTTGTCCTCTGCATTTGGTATCTATCTCCACTTTCAGCCCTCTTTAAATGGAGAGATAAAGTACAAGAGAGTAAAGAGCTGGATACGTCAACACTCTTAACCGCCTGGTGGTAGTATTCTATCAACTTCTTTGGCTCTGTTCAGATAACTTTTTTGTTTCCCTGTACAAATCGCAGTGCTTAGTAAAGACTGCTATGAAAAGCGGTCTCCCATTTGCACACAACTTTCATATTCCCTGGTCTATCTACACAGACAGTTTTCAACAACCACCCTTTATATTAAAAGTCGGCTCTGTATTGTCCTTCTCGTAAAGATTTTAAATCTCCTCCAAAAGTCCTAGGTGTTCAGAAGCCACAGATCTTTAGCAGCTATGTCTACCCATGACAGTAAAAGGAAGAAATTGATTTTGCAACAGATATACTGAGAAATCAAATCCAGGATTCACCTTTGCTCTTAAAACAGAGAATGAAACCACTGACTACCAAATGTGCTTTGGTAGCTACTCTTGGATTCCAAACTTCGATATCACTTTCCTATATTAATTCAGTCTTAAGTTTCAGGAAATAAAATAATTACGTAGTTAAACAGAGATCTTTATACAAACATGTACTGTGTTTACAATGTACCAATCCATTAAAATCAACGACAGACATAGATTATGAGAACTAAAACCCGAGCCAAGTAGACTAGCACTCACCATTTGCCCAATCCCCATCCAATGACAGTAAACATCCTATTGGAATCTGCTCCGAAAACAAAGCTTTACCAACCTAATGTCAAGGTAAACAGGTAGTAAATACCTATTTGAGACTAGTAGCCAGTGGTATCATTTTCATTCTCTAGGGTCTAAACACAACGAAACGCTGGCATTTTTTCTTTTAAATTGGCACCATTATAATATAGCTTTTTACTTGGTAATTTTTTAAAAAGTTCACAAGGTGCTGGCTCACAGTGCCTTAAATTTTCTAGCCATAAACCATCTGAGTTAAAGGGAGTAAGTAAAGACATTCTACTATTCAGAAAAAAAAATTTTTTTTCCCCTATACTTTACATGAAATGCCATCCCCCCCTAAACTAAGAGCTACAGAGAATAAAAGCCCCATCAAGTTAAGCTGTGACAGTCCTGAAGTCAAGGTCCTAAGATTCTTCTACTCTGTAAATCATACAAAGAAGAAAAGTAAGGAAAACATATTTTCAACACCAAGTATATATTAATTAGGAACAGAGTTAGGTCTCATTTGAAAGGGGGATTGTAAGTTGTAATAGCCCATGACGTACCTTAAGTTCTCTGAAGAAGATACTACTCCTGGCCCACTCAACAATAGAGAAGAGGGTTTGATCAGCCATTTTGCACATAAGCCCAAACGTGCTCAGCTTTTCGTGCTTGCTTCGGTTAGCTTGTTCTTGCTGCAAATAGGCCATGATTTTAGCCTGGACTTGAGGCTCATCTGGCTCACACTTCAGAAGTTCCAGTATCAGATGTGGGATGCTTGCCGGGGAGCTCGTCTGGTAACTATCCATGTAGGAATAGCCCATTATTGACTCTGGTGAGCTGGTGTAGGGATCTGGGTACTCAGACTTGATGGCCCGGTTAGGAAAGTGACTGTATGTTTGGTAACCTTGCAGGCTGCCATGAGGTGGCATTGTCATGCTAATAGGGGATGTTACAAAGGGACTTCTGTCATAGTCTGTAGGAGGCAAGGCAGCGTGGTTCAGAGGTAGGCCTTTGGAGGCAGAATGGATGTTCTGAATGGCAGAAGAGATGGTGAGCTCAGAGGGCATTGCTTGGATCACCTGAGACATGGCTTCTAGTTTAAGTCCATTGGCTCGGATGAGGGCTTTTTTCTGTTGCTTTAGGGCCCTGTCTCTCTTGTACATTGGCCCGAATTTATTCCTTCCCCCGCGCATTCGGTCAGCCCTTACCGCTGTGGGGAAATAAAAAAAAAGGAGTAAGGGTATAAATAAGATGCAAACTATTAGCATTCTCTACATCTCCAGCTATTGAGAAATGTTGAAAATTGACCAGAAGTGTTAGGTGTGTGGTTGTTTTCATTACAATGGCCCATAAAGATACCCCCCCACCACCCCACAAGCCATTTTTGAATTCTTTCCTCTTTAAGTGTTTGTCATCAAAAAAGTATTTTGGATGCATAGGGACATATTAACCCTTTGGTAGACAGTGAGGGTTTCATAATTTTTGCTACACACGGGATACTACAGATTGCTAAGAAAGAGTATCAGTTTCTATTATGCCAGTTATGTCAGAATTCTCTTTACGGAAACCCAAACTACTAAGAGGAAAAAATAAAAAATCAACCCATTTCTGGATCGAGTTGTGAATATTTTCCCTGAGAATATCTTCATTCCTCAAAGCCGTTTTGACTAATTTGCTGCAAAAGGGTTGGGCACATGCTCTTCCTGGAAAATCATTTTCACCTGGACTTGATGAGCACACATCAGATAACCACTGGTTATTGTTTTTAATTTAAGAAGAACTGGACATAATTAAAGCAAATTCATTTCAGAAGGTGTCAAGACAGTCTACCATCACAGTGCTGTGTGGACTCTGGGACCATGTCAAATAAGTGAGTTAGCAGTAGTCTCCAAGCCCACAGTGGCCAATGGCAATTAGACAGAAACCAGCGATCTCTGACAGCTTCTGACATGTTGAAATTGCTGGAGGTTAAGTTTTTGAGCTTTTGATCTTAGGATTAGTATAGCATTAAACATTTATTGTGAATGCTAGGTATCTAGAATATTGTGCAAGTTTTTCATCTGGATGATAATTTATTGAACATTCCACTTTTTCATATCACTGTTAAGGAAGTATGGTTATGCCCCACGAGTGACTTAGTAATACTTTTTAAGGTAAAGAAATGCAACCTTTTCTTTTCATTAAAAAAAAAGAGAGAGAAATCAAATGACACCATATGAAGCCACAACATTTACTTGTGTGTGTGTGTGTGTGTGTGTGTGTGTTTTGTTTTGTTAAGTAGGCTCCATGCCCAACGTGGGGTTTGAACTCATGACCCCGAGATCAAGTGTCACATGCTCTACCGACTGAGGCAGCCAGGCGTCCCACAACATTTACTCTTTGACATTTTATATTTTGAGTCTCATATGACAGTATGCATCTCCCACAATATTTTGCTGTTTGGAAAATAATAAAGTGAGTGGTAATAAAGAAATTAGTGAGCATTTCTTTCTTGATATTTCTCCATCTCTTCTTAATAGCAATACAGAGGGGCACCTGGGTGGCTCAGTCCGTTAAGCCTCTGCCTTCAGATTCCTGAGGTCCTGGAATTGAGCTCCAGGGCGCCTCTCTGCTCAGCAGGGAGTCTGCTTCTCCCTCTCCCCCTCCCCCCATTCATGCTTGCTCTCTCTCTCTCTGAAATAAATAAAATCTTAAAAAATAAATAAAATAAAAGCAATACAGAGTTAACAGTTCCAATGATAACCAAAGTGGCTACTTCTATTGGGAAAGAATCTATTAGCAATTTAGCAGATTTATTTGAAATCTTTTGAGTATTTCTATCAAGTCTGAGTGCCACATCACAGGAAAGCTCCACACACAACTAGCCTGTGCCTCATTGATCAACTAAAATGCACTCTTGTATCTGGCACATAACGGTGACATGTATCTCTTATTATTACTTTATTTGCACTGTAGTTAATCTGTGGAAAGTCAGTAGGCTGGAGGCTAAGAAATAGCAACACACCAAAATAGTCCATGAACTACAGACTACTTACTTACAGCGACCACATATTAACTTTCCTCCCTGCCAACCTGTACATTGTAAATACAGTTTACTCTCACAACGTAAAGTCTAACATGGCTTTTGGGGAACCACTACCTTATTCCTGTCAAACCAATGCTACTGATTTAATAGTTCATTATTTTTCATGTTTCCTACTTTTCAACTTCATTTCGCAGCCTTCATCATTATCTTAAAAAAAAGAAACGTGCTTTCCCACATTATCAAAATTGATAATCTACACGAGAAACCCCATTGCACAATTAAAGGCTTTAACTCTTGCTCAGGAGCCATGAAATTAATAGTAACAATTGTGACAAGTAAACAATTTAAAAGATTAAAATCAGACTTTTACTAGAGCATCCGATCAGAAAACTTAAAAGTATTTTTTTTTAGTTTTTGCAAATGTTTAAAACCTGTTCTCAGTTGAATCACGTTAGTCTTGTTTTCATCTAACCTGGCCTTTTTAGCATCAAATCCATCTGCTCGCCAAACTAAAAAAAAAAGAAAAAAGTGGGGGGAGGGAAACTCTGATATTTAAATTTTTTCCTAGTAGATGTCCCCAGTGTTTAAATGATACTCAGACATCTCTGCTGACAAAACATAAAAGATCTTACGTTATTGTCCACGGTGTTAAAAGACTAGGAAAATAATGTTATCATATTCTAAGTACAATGTTATTTTAAATCTTATGTCCTTGGAGAGTTTTAACAGGCAGTAGTCTTTGGAAGAAACTTACCTTCTAGCTTCATTCCAACACTTAGACATTTTTGAAATCGACAGTAAGGACAACGCTTTCTCTGTGTTTTATCAATTTGGCAGTTCTGGTTTTCTATACATGTGTACCTTTTATTATTTTGGACTGTTCGCTTAAAAAATCCCTACAAGACAGAGAAAATAGTGAGGCATATTAAAAATCTAACACCCATCTTTTCCATTGTTTCATTTTAAGGAAATCACCAATAAATCTTTTCATTGAACCAATGAGCCCTTCCATGGTTCTGTGGTTTGTTTCACATTTTAACAAGATTGACCCTCCAAAACAGCACCGGCCCAAAGTGGAGATTTTTCTAGCATTTGAGTTCTATTCCTAAAATTATATCAAATCTCGGGGAGATTTGGATACACACCATTTCATCTCAACAGTCAGAGAAAAATACATTCTATATTGACTAGTATTAAAAAAACACACACACATCTGTTTTCTTATTAATCTATTCCAGGTAAGGTACTCATGGAGATCTGCACTGTTTGTAAGCAGTCTGATAGAATTTTAGTGGCAAACTATTGTAAAATAACAGTGGAAAATTGAATAGCAAAACACCCCAGATTTTTTTTTTTTTTTACAAACGTCAGCACTTGATAAGAGCAAAAGGATTTAAAGAGTAAAATGGGTAAGTGTTCATAATTCCATTGGAATACATTCAAGTTGGGGAACTCTTAAAAAAAAAAAACAAAGAAAGGTGAAACTAATGGAAAAGAAAATCATGTGTAGCAGAGAGGTGAATTTTAGCACAGTGTTTTTCTTATATTGCACCCAAAAGAATTCATCAAAAACAAATTTTGTAGCTTCATAATACAATAATAGCTTTACCAGGATGGTATATTCTTTATGTTTATCCTACTAGCCATAAAGTGAAACAATCTTATTTTGTTATAGAGAATGAAAGGATTTTCCTGCCAGTGGTTTAAGTATTTGTAACTGAGCTTTCTCCTTTAAAAAATGTTGAAAAATAGCAAGTATCAAGTTGACTGGGACTATATTAAAAAGGTCTGAGATAAATTCTTGATGTATGGTTGAGATTATTAGGAACAATAAAGTACATTTTACATATTAAAACTTCTTGCATTTAAATAGGTCATATAATTTATTTATGAAAGCTACACTTAACTATAAACTGAGATGTGGTTTCTTATTCTTTATGATATAAATTTCAAAAAAATCTTAAGAATTGTTTTTGGAATAAATAAGGATAAAATCACATAGTTGAGAATTTAGACTTTTACCTGTGGATAAAAAATGTTTAGACTTGCAGCACAGAATAGTCTGAAGTTAAAATATATTTGGGAAATCCTTTGTCATGTTTCCTCTCAAGAACGATGCTTTAAATATATATAAGTCAAGCAAAATCAATATTTAGGACTGTTAGAAATAGAAGTCTTTCTACAGTTACATCACTTTACCACAATAAAATATTTTAAAGCCATGAGACTGGCAAAGTTTTCTAAACAGCATAATTTTTTTTTTTTTTTTTGCCTTTGGAATTAAACACATATTTCAAAGAATCATCTCCCTAAGACTTTTCTCTCATTTTTAATTGAGTCCAAAAAAGACAGCCTAAATTTAGCTTTAGAAAGCAATCCAATGGTTTATTTTGGTTTTGAACCTTGTATTTGTCAGGTAGCAATGTGTAAGCAAACCTTGCAGCTTTCACAGGTGAGGAGCCCATAATGGTATCCAGACACTTTATCTCCACACACCGGGCAGAGCTCTTCAAGATCTTCATCATAGGAGTAATTCACCATTTTAAACTGAGACACTGAAACAAAAGAAATGTATATATGTAGCTAATTAATTCACACGGTAGGTTGTAATCCTGCAGTGAGAAGCATTTTGGTAATTGGTGGGCAAATATCACAGGTAAAATATAAAATAAAAATATTTTTTTTATCCAGGAGTAGTGAAAAACTATTTTTATACAATGAAAGTAAAAGATCTTTTGGACTCAGCGGGCACGCACTTCCTATTTTTTAACTGAAAAAGAATTCCCACTTGTTTTGTTAAGAATTTTAAACTTACCAGTGTTGAACACAAAGCTCATAACTGCAAGGCAGCAAATCAGACTAGAAACATGAATCGCAGAAAATAACACTTTAGAACTTTAAACCTCCTAAAGATCCAAAAATGTCACCTTTGCCTAGGAGAGAGAAACAAGCACACACAGTCTCCCACTCTTGAACTAAGTTTGCTGCAAGTACACCTCGCTCAACAGGAGAGCAACTCCGACTTGCAAACACTTGACGGAGAGCCTGAAGCCCCAGAAACCTGCTTCTCAGCAGCAAGCCCCACTTGAACCACAGCCTGCTGCTCCCTACGTTCAAATCTGTTAGATTAATTGAAACATTCAGCTCCATATCGACAGGACTCCTGTTCTGGATACTTTCACCTCTTCACACTTGAAAATCTCCTGTAAAAATAGAGAAGGAAAAGAGAGAGGACGCCGGGCAGAGAGAGAGAAAAAGGAAAAGATACACACGAGGGTTTGGTTTCGTCGCAAAGTCCTGTGATAAACTTCACATGTTTCCGATAATCAGTGCAAAATATAAACACCTCCGGATCGCCCTGTTAAAGTTAAACAGAGATCAGGCCGTGGCTCCGCGAGGTTCACTGCGGGGACCGAGTAACCGCCTTCCGCCGGACGCAGCTCTGCGAAGGCGCCTTTGCAGCCAAAAGATGGATAAACTATGCACAGGAAGGACAGTGGCCGGGAGATAATACCTGACCTAATCCCTTCCCGAGACTCACCCAGGGTCAGGTGTCGGAGGGCGGACGCACCGGGTACCTGCGGTAAGGGGCAGGTCCGCGCAGCCCGGCACCCTAACCCTTCCGGGCACCTTCCTGTGAAACCCCGGGGTACACTCGCCTCTCGCCCCTTGCTCGGCTACACACAGGCGCACTAAAGCAGAGTCGAGTTTAAGTTAATCAGTGGCACTTGCAGGGGGCGGGGCGGGGGGGGGGCGGGGAACCGATGGCCGGACAGAAGTTTCCTCTGATTTGTTTACCAAAAAGGAAAGAGAGAAATAGCCCCCACCGCATCCCCGAAGTTCCCGGCCACTCCATCACCATAATGTGGCCTCTTCGACAATGACTCGTTCTTTTCCTTATTCTTTTTAAAATAAAGTTCTTTTTTTCTTTATGGATTCTGCAGGCCTCCGGAAAGGGCCGTGGGGAGGTGCGGTCACTTGCACCACTTCGAGGCTGAGGGCCGAGCACAGACCCGCTGAGTTTGAGCCATCTCTTCCCGAACCACAGAGCCCTGGTCTGGGGCTTAAACCCGAGTGAGTTAGCCAGAGTTTGGAGATAGGGGGTGGGGTCCCCGTGAAAGATGTTCCCGTAGAGGCAGGCGCTTGGGCTCCGTAAAACAAGAGATACCGAGCGCAGTCCTCCCAGCGGTGCCAGCCCTAAGAGGTCCGCGCTCGGGTTTTGGGAAGCTGGGGGTTTGGGGGAACTGAGGGTTCGAGAAGTTCGTTTATAGCTCCATCTCTCCCCAAACTTAAACTATTGCTTTGTGGCGTGTTTTAGGGACGGGAAAGAACTGTACTTTATTGTTTTTATTCTCCCAAAAAAGTAAAGTCTAAACTTCGCACCTAAGGGGCACAGCGAGGCAAACGTTTGCAGGAGGATTCGGTGCCCACCTCGGGGATCCAACCCCAAAAGGAACGGAGTTGAGGGTGGGGACCCTCTTGGACAAAGAGTCCGTGTGGGTAGACAGTTGCCGCTGTGCAAGACTGGGGCATCTTTCAGTTTCCCAGGTGCTGTACCCAAGTAGGCATTTGAAGAACGGAATCCGTTAGGGCAAAGAAGTCCCTGTCTTAAGAAAGTGAAGAGGACGGTGGGGCCTTGTAAAGCTAGGACCGCAGAGAGGCACGCAGAGAAATTCCCCCTAAGTTGGACGCGCTATGCTGTCCCGCAACCCAATGGCGGGTCCCCTTTCTGATCGGATTAGGACGACTAGGGCGCATCCCCGGCGGAGACCAGAGCAAGCATGGTAATGGGGTCCCATCCCCAGGGACTGCCCTCGAGGTGTAGGCCGCGTGGCCTAGGGAAAAGTCGTGTCGTGGCCCTTCCCACGCTGTTTTCGAACCCGGCGTGAGCGAGCGGCCGGCGACTTCTCCTGAGCCCTGGGCACAACGGAGGGCTAACTTCTGCTTTGGGGCAGTAGGTCGTGTCAAGAACTCCCCTCCCGAACTTTACAGGGAAAATATTACAGTGGCATTTCCCTCCCATTTCCCCCCACCCCCTGAACCGTTATTCTTGCCTCCCCTGCTTCTTGATCCAGCGTTTCTCTGAGCCTCTTTTCCCGAGTCTCAGAAACGCGCGCGCCGGAACGAGCAGCAGGAACTTTCCTTTTGCACCCAAGATCGCGCTGGCCTCACGGGCGCCCAAAGGGTTGTCCCTCTCCGCAGCTCAGGCGGAGGGTTCCCAGATCCGGCTCCCGGCGCCCGGGTCCCCCACGTCCCCACTTCGCGGGAATCCCAGGTGAGGGCGAGAATGCCTCTTTGGGCCAACCGGGTTCCTCCAGCAGCCAACCCTCAAGTTAGTCTCAGGGGCCGCAGCCCCCAGGGGACTTCCACAGCCCTTCCTGGAGGGTTGGAGAGACCCCAGGATCACGGTGGGGTAAGCGACCCAGAGGCCTAACGCACGTCTTGCCGCCACCCCGTTCCCCCAGCCCAGCCGGGCGACGTCAGGGCCCCCGGGGCAGAGCGCTGCAGGCGCGCCGCCTATCCCGTACCGCGGCGTGTACCAACCCCAAACTCTGGTCGGACTCTGCTCTCAACACCTTCCCGGCCCTTTCAAGTTCGCTCAAGGGGATGGCAGGAAGCGTTCCGGGATCACAGGCCCGCCTGCCCGCACATCCTGCGCGCTGGAAGGGGCGAGGATGGAAGAGCGCCGGGGACTTTTCCTAGCATTGTTCCCTCCCCAGCCCAGAGCAACTGCGATAAACTTCTGAAGGGCTCATACAGCCAGATCTAGAGTCGCTGTTTTGGAATGCGGCGAAAATATTGCCAGCAGAGTTTGCTTTTTTGTTGTTGTCAGCAATCAAGAGCTGGCAAAACAAATAGGACTTCCATACTCCCAGTTCTCGAACTGAAGCAGAGGCATTAAGCTAAACCGCTGCCCCCCTCCCTCAACTAACTCGGCAATACCCGCGCAGAAGATGGGGTTGGGGTAACTTTGGATCTCTTCAGTTCTGCCTGCAGTTCTGAAGTTGTCCAAATTATGCCGGCGCCCAGTTGTCCGCATGGGCGTTTGGGGGTGCCCACATGCATTCTAACGCCGCTAGGACAAGCTTTTCCGGGGTCATCTTCTCTTTCTGTAGTTGACTTTGCTAGGCGGGGTTTTTTTCCTCCACACAAGAGCACTGATTAAAGTTCTCACCGATTCAGTGACTGAGAACCTGCTCCGGTTTCCAGTGAGGCATTCCATTTCTTAGAATGATCTTATTATTCTGAAGTATCTGTAGCCTGAAGGCGCCCCCCCCCCACCCCCGCCGCCTCGGGTTGCCATAGATCTCGAAGCCTCTCTTTTCTTAATTAGAAGCGGCCAATTAGGCATTGCTTGGAAAACCTCCGCCCCGCATTGTTCAAGAGCCATAAACTTTTATGCCTGTCCCTGGGGTGGGGGGCCTGCCGCCCGCGAGCTGCCCCACAGCCCGGCGGCCGCGAGAGCCCAGCCGGGTAGCTCAGCGCCCGCGAGGGGTGGGCGGCTGAAGCCCGCAGGGCGAGCCCGGGGTGGCGTGGCCGCGGGAGCCCGAGCGCCGCGCAGCGCCTCCTTACCTTGCATGTTTTCCGGCATCTGCCCCTGTTCCCCATGCGATCGAGCCAGTCCCAGGGCTTCCGTCTCCACTTTGGGCAGCATGACAAGGCGGCCGCGGGCGGGGATAGGGGGTCCGTGTCCGTCCGGAAGCCCAGCACCTGGACACGGGCAGCACAGATTCAACTCCGGCGGAAAAAAACGAAGGGCGACCGGGGTGCCGGCTCACCCACCCGCTCGCGGGAGCGTGCCTCCGCCTCCTCCCGGGGTCGCGGGTCAGGACCCCTGAGCCCCGTCCAGTCTCGCAACTCCGGAGCCGCCCCCAAGCCGCTGGGAGGAGATGGCGGGCTACGAGATGCGGCGAAGACTGCGTCCCGGCGCCTTGGTTTGGCGCGGCGAGGGCGGCGGCGGCGGCGGCGGCGAGGGCGCAGCTGCCCGGGGCGCGGATCCGAGTGCGGCCGAGCTCCGGGCGGGCAGCGGAGACGGCGGCGGAGCGGCTGGTGCTGCCGCCGCGGCGGTGCCGCTGCCGCTGCTCCCGGACGGCTCGGGCGACTTCTACCCCTCCCTCCACCCGCCCTCTGGCTCAGGATCGCCAGGGGTCTCTCTCTCTCTCTCTCTCGCCTCACTTCTCCTCTCCGCCCCTTCCCCCGTCTCTGCTTCCCTCTCGCTCACTATCACAAGTGTGAAGTTGTGAAGTTCCAGCCTCCCTCTCCTGCCTCGTTTACTCCTCCTGCGTGTCCGAGAGCAGTCCTTCCAGCCCCGAGGGTGACGGTGCTGGCAAGGAAAGGGGGAAGATGAGGAGGAGTGGGGAGGTAAGTAAGCCGGGGCTAAGGGGAAGGCTGGGATGAGGGGTGATGACAGTGAATGGGGACGCGGGTTCCGGACTAGGTCGGACACCAGCCGCCAGCCAATGAGGATGAGGCGCATGCTCCAGTCCCCTCGCCTGCCCCAACCTCACCACCCCGCCTTAACCCCCTCCCACCCCACCCTGACCTGGGGCGGGGGATGTGAATGCTGCCGGGTCTTCCAGCTAGTGAGAGGCGACCTCTGTCTGAGCGCAGCGGCGGAGGACGGGAGGCTAGGGCGGCGATTTATTTCTGCGAGCTGGGGGGAAGCCAGAAGGGACGCGGGAGTGTGTGGGTGTGCGTGCGTGTCTCCGCGCGCGTGTCGGGTCAGGGGCTGGAGGGGGGAGTTAAACACCCATTTGAACAACCTAAAGGAGAAAAGAGATGTTGAATTCAGTGGACCGCTCTTCTCCAAAGAGCGGGCCTGCTCTCCAGGGTCTCCCGGCTTCATTAACCCCTCAGCATTCAGTCCGAAAAGGCCCCACCGTGGACCCCGGGAGTCCTGGAGTGGCCGAGCGTCCCGGCCCACCGAGGAGACAGCCATATGGCCGCACGTTCACTCACTTGCCGGAAATCTGAGAAACAGCTATCCCTGTTTCCCCACTCTACCAGTTCCGTCACTGGTAGACTAGTAAACACCCCACCCCCTCCAGCCCAAGATTATATTGGCGGCAGACTTCCTAAATGTTAGTGAACTGCGTGTCCAAGTAGAATGCAAAGACCGAACTAGGCTTTCCTTTTTCATTCTGGTGTCTCTGGTGGGACCATCCACATGAGGCCCAGAGGCCCAGCACTTCTAATAAAGTTTTAAAGAACCATCTGTTACGTAAGCTCTTCAGCCACCAGCCCAGCCACATCTTCAAAAAGTTTTCAGATCTCATCCCAACAAGATGAAAAACATTTTTTTCCAGCCTCATGACTGCATATGAAATGCCTCATATTCAGTGTCTGCTGCAAGACTGGGTAATTATCAGAGTCCACCCACAAGGGGGTGAATTTGAATCTCAAAAGATCTGAATTTATTCTATTTGAATGGCATGGAGATCACACATTCAAACTGTCCAGTCCAGTATTTGATGAATTGGAAAACACTCCAACCATCGCCATGATTAATCTACACTTTTGCATGAAACGGGTTGTTTATCACCTACCGGTGTCTGGCAATTCAGAGGCTGTTGGCTCTCTAAATTGTTCTTTTTGTAATTTTGTTCTTTAATATATATTCAGAATCTAAGTTATTTAAATCTCAGTTTTGTAGCATCATCAAATTTCATAAAAATGTTTAAACTTGGGGGGAGGGAGACTGTCCATTAGTTTGGAAAGTGCAGTGGGCTGTGGTTGCCAAAATTAGGGACCCTTAAGATGCTCAGATTTCTGTGATAGTATCTAACACTGTCAATCCATTTTCAGTATTACTAGTTGTTTTAAATACCATTGTGAATTAAGTGCATATATATATATATATATATATATATATATATACACATACACACACATATATTTACATAGTTCAGAAAAGGAAAGGAATTACAACTCAGGGCTCAAATCAGTTCTTGCAGTGCTGTGTGGATTCGGATGAACTTTGAAAACCAGTTTATTACAAAGTCTTAATTTAGGAGTGTCCTACTACAATCAAAGAGCTTATGGGGGCACTTATGTAGCACCTTCAGAAACACCAGGCTGGCAGCTATGGAGAACTCCAGACTCTGGGTCCTCAGAGGGAGCTTCCAGCTCAGAGCCAGAGGGAAGGTCTTCTGGTTGGTAGAGCTGAAGGAAGAGGTTAGGAGGGTTGAAGTCTGACAGACCATATATTTGTGGTCTGCATGGTGAAATCCTTGCCTGGACTTGAAGCAGAGCCTGACCTAGCCCAGGCAAACTTTGTGATCACATTCATAACCCAGCTTCAGCTCCAGAAGGGGCTTGTTTAGACCATAGCGTCTCTTGAGTCCAAGCCAGTCTGCCTTCACCTCACACACCCAAAACCAGTAGTCATAGTGACAGAGGGCCAGCTGACATTCATCTATCTCCTCCCCAAACCAGAGGAGGTGGTGAGGGGGAAAATAGGGGCTGGAGACACCGTTTCAAAAAGCCACCCTTAAAAAAAAAAAAAAAAAATGTCCAAGATTGCCTTGCTTTGAGGCTCTTGCCCAGGCTGACCGCAGCAAACGGAAGGGACACCGCAAACACAGGAGGTCTCAAGCAGAGAGAAAACCTCGGTGCTCCAGGCCTCCCGCTCCAGGGAGGGAAGAGGCTGGCTCAACCGTATCCCAGATACCCTCGGCGTGGTGGAAACCCCCCCCCGCCCCCCCCCCCCCGCCTGCGGTGCGCAAGGTGGGAAATCTTCCACTGCAATTGTTTCTAGTCAGACAACGGAGGGCCCTTTTTCACGGTTTTTCTCCTCAAGGAGTTTAGGGGAGCGGCGGAGTCCCCAGGCCTGGGGCAGACACAGAGGGAGGGGCGGCGGCACCAAGGCTTCCGACACTACACTCATTCCGTCCTCCAAGTGCATCCATTCCCCACCTTCTGAGTTCCCTCTGTCCGAATGTTCTGGTTCCTCGAGCCTTCAATTCGGCTGGGCCAGGGCCCGCAT